AGACTGAGAATACAAATACCATATGATCTCACTTATATGTGGAATCTAAAGAACAGAATAAATGAGCAAACAAAACAGAAATAGACTCAGAGATAAAGGAAAAAAAAACTGTTGGTTGCTAGATGGGGAGGGGGAATGGAGGAGAAGGTGAAGGGATTAGAAAGAGCAAATTAGTAGTCACAATATAGCCATGGGGATATGAAATACAGTGTGGGGAATATAATCAACAATGTTGTAAAGATTATGTAAGGCGCCAGATGGGCACTGGACTTATCAAGGGATCACTTCATAGACTGTTAGTATTTGCTTTTAAGCTCTACCTTCTAGGCATTTTGTATTAATTAACTCAGTTCTTCAGTCTTTATTTTTTTGCTCTTTTGTTTTTTCCCCCAGCTTGGTAGGTTAGCCATGTTTTTGCATACATGAACAAAATGGTGTGTATTTGATGCATATCCCTGTTCATTAGTGAGAAAACATAAAAGGTGAAGCTGGGTAAAGTGCAAAGGAAGAAGCAGTAGGCTGTCATTATTCAGTACTACCCCCTAGCAGTTAATGGACAGTTCTCAGTAACGAGACACCTTTGGGAGACCAGTGAGCAAACATGAAGGGCTGAAAATTACAGCCAGGCAAGCGCTGCTTCTGAAAGGACTTAGGTGTACGCAGAGATTTGTTACAAAAAAACATTTTGTCCTTTCCTTGCCAAGCAGTTTTTTTTGTTTTGTCAAAGAGGTACCTATGTTTACATAATCCTCATTAGTCCATCAGATTTAAGGAGGTATGGGTGGTTTATGTCCATGGAAAAGAGGGGTACAAAAGAATCCTGGATAGATTATATCACCTCCATGTGTGATGCTTTCTGGATTCCATGTTTTAAGAACTCTTACTTTGTAAATCGTGTAAATAATTTAGATGTTTGATCATCTGTTTAAAACATTTATGTAAGTATAGGGGGGAGAAAATATATTCGATAATTGGTTAGATTTTTAATATGATTTGAAAAAGATTTTTTTTGCTAGTAGACTGTTACTTCTTTAGTTTTAAATTCTTTTAAAATCACCACCAATGAAATGCCTTTAATTCCTTAACTACGCAGCTTTCCTTGAATAGTCAGGGAAATTATTCTGATCATTTAAACAATTTTTTTTTTAAAGTAAGTTTGTAATTTAGTAGATGGCAAGTGGTATAGGTGAAAGAAGTTTGCAAGTCAGGAGCTCAGTCCTGTCCTGGATCTTCCCTGACTTGCTCTATGGCCCTAGACAGGGCATTTACCTTCTTGTTAATCTCATTATCTTTATGTACAAAGCATTTGCCTTCTTGTTAATCTCATTATCTTTATGTACAAAATACGAGATTAGAGGTCTCTTTTTTTTGGCTGGAAAATCCTATATCAAATGTCACACTGAAGTTTAAATAGACTGACTACTTGCCACTGGTACATCCACAACAGGTAAACTCACTTGACACGGGTTACCTGTTGCTAGTTTGAGTTGGTTGTTCATGCTTACAGATTTGAAACACTTGTCCTTGAAATTATAAATTTTTATCTTAATGTAATGAACTCTGTTATTCTTTCAGAAGTCAGAACTTATCAGGTATAAATGAAGTCTGGCAAACGCTTGCGCATAATAGTTTCATAACGCTTCTCATAAATGTTTGCTGTACTAGATAGACATATATACTGTATCCTCTTAGACAGCAGTATTCCTTGTTTATACTTGTGAGTACCCGTGTTCACTGATTGTGTTAAGTCTGTGGAGGCAGAGCCATCATAATGACTGGAAGTCCTGTTGGTGTAGGATCATAGCCTTCTGAAATCCTTTTTGAATAATTGACTAAAATGCTCTGACAGGATCTACCCACTCAATCAAGGAATAAATAAGCGTTGAATGCCAAATTTGAGCAGGACGCCAAAGAATGGCTATTATTTCTGATGGGCAAGTTGAACAAAAATACCGGCATTCTGTTTTGGTGCTATAATATCACCTTAAGAGCTCAGGTATTCTTTCCTCTATAACTTTACCAAAATGGTTAAGTCTGCCCTTATTTGCCAGGGTACAGATTCAATTAGATTTTAAAAATTAATCTTGGGTTTTTGTGGTTGTTGTTATTGTCTTACATATATATATTTTTTAAATGACTGTGGTATTTTGTTTTTCTTTTTTCTCAATCCTGACAGGCATCAAATAGTGCTTCCTATATTCAGGATGCCTTTCAACTACTCTTACCCGTGCTGGAGATCTCACTTATTGAGAACAAGACTGAGTCACCAGAGGCATGAGTTGCAGGTCTAGAGGCCTTTGTCAGAACATTGAAGAACAGAGAAGATTTGACCTGAGACCTGTGATGGCCAAGAAATGCCACTCTATTCTGGGTACCCTTGTGGAAGTGAGGGAGAAGGTTATTTTAGTATATAAACATTCAGGCAAGAAAGCAGCTTTATAGGAAGTTTGTTGCTTTCACTGCTTGGCTGAAGTATTCAAGGTTCTCACACTGCTCTTCCCAGTTTTTATAATTAATAAATTATTTGAAGGGAAACTTTTATAAGAACGTTAAAAAATAATAGCTCTAGGTAAAGGTTAGTGGTACACTCAGGCAAAAATATTGGTCTTTTTTTTTTACGATTGACACAAAATGCTAACTTTTGTCATGGATATGATTTTGCAGCCCATGGATATAATTGGTTGTTAAGCAAGAGAAAAAGAACTTAGTTTAGTATTCTAGAATTCACATGCTTGATCTATTAATGTCATGTACTTTCTCCTTTCTATAATAAAAGCTATGGCTCTAAAAAAAACTGAGTATATATAAACTCTGTAATGATTACCCGTTATGATATGAATTCTTGGAATTGGTTAGAAAGTTTCATCTGCTCTTTAATTCTCAGCAGATACTTGGCATTGAGGAGAAACTTACAGAACATGCTGTAGCCACGTGAATTAACTATAGCAACGTGCCCTTGGGCTTCAGATTGCTCTCCCACCCCAAGATGACAGGCTCCAAGTTGTAGCTGACCCCCAGTCAACTGGGTTCAAGACCAGTAAGTGCAATTTTGAGAGGTAGTTGGCATGTTCGCAGATATTCTGAGCCTCTCCAGGATGTCTTTCGTGTATACCCCATGTGCAGGATAAATTCTGTAACAGCCAGCTCCAAAGGAGTGTTGAAGCGCTTTTAGTAATGGGCTTTTGTTGTTTGAATATTGTTGAGATGGCTTGTAGAGTCCCATAGAAATGATGTTCATTGATAATGGGATTTAACCTGTAAGACACAATATATTTTCGTTATTCCATTTTTTTCTGCTTTAATGTATTCTTGAGCACATTTGTAAATACTACTTTTATCCTTCGGATCTTTCAGCCTTCTTTTTGCTCTCTTCAACAGTTTAAGAGACTAAAAGTGTATCGTCTTCCTAAAAGCTATTTTGGTATTCACTCTTTTTAGAAAAAGTTCTCCAACTTTGTTGTTTTTAATAATTCAGGTAACTTTTGTGAGTTCTGCTACTCATCTTCTAAAACTTTTAAATAAAATTTAGTAATCATGTCAATTAACCTTTTATTTTTCCAAACGTGAGTCCCAATATCTTTCTCAGACCAAAGAAATAGCAAAATGAAGCTATTAAAGCTATAACATAGATCGATATCAAGACTATTTCTATGTAATTGCCCTATTTGGGGTAGGGGGCGATTTGTAAGCGAGGAGAAAGATAAATAGATTTGGCTAAAAATGTACACCTACAGCACTAAAATGTTATTCTCTTTATATTCTGTTCTAATATGCTCAGAAAAGTCCTCAAGTATTTCTTTTTATAGACAAATTCCTCCCTTTGCAAAGTGAGTAATTCTGAAATTTCAGAAAAACGGTTGCCTTGTGGTTAATAAAGCTGGTGTCTCAGTCCTGATTTGTTTCCTCAAGCTCACTTGTGCCTGAACCTGGATCTCTTGAGCAAGGTATTCCTAGAGGAAGATTTAGGAACTGAACACACTGCTTACTGTCTGTTCAGACTCTTATACAGTGGCAGTTTACAGTTTTTATTCTTTGATCTAGAAACATGTAATGTTTTTCTTTCAGGAAGAGGGACGTAGATGTGGGGGACAGAACAGTACTTTCTATATGCCTATCCAGGTTGCAGCCCCGAATTTGACCAGTGTAAGATTAGACCTGACAAAAGCCGAGTGTGACTCACTGCCTCTTTTCTTTCTCCCTCATTCCTCTCATCAGCTTCTTCCCACCCACTCAATGCATTTAGAAGATGACCAGTGAAATGATGAAAGGATCAATCAATTCTGAGTAACAGCTGCCTGCCTTTCATTTAGAGAATGGAAAAAAAAAAAAGAGCTCCTTGATTCAGTAGAGATAGAGAAATAAGAGCGTGAACATTCACTCATAGATGAGTAGGTAAATTCAGGGGAAACTTTGGAACCTATTGGACTATGGTGATGGTTTTGGATGGTGCACGCTTCATTATTCCAGTTGTGGTCGGTATATGATGTTGATGGAGTTCCTTTTTTTTTAGAGTAAAATTTTAATATTTTTTGTAAGTTTTAGATGGATTTTAATAGCTAAACTGTGACGAACATAAATAACTGCTTATTTCAAGCTCCTTTCCGTAGTAAATATTTTTTTCCCATTTTTTTTATAGGTTTCAGGTGTGCAAAACAATGTAATAGACATTTACACCCCTCACAAAGTGATAGCCCCCTCTCCCAATCTGCTACCCCTTGACATTATATTATACATAGTTGTTAAAATTCCATTGACTCTATTCCTCATTGATGGAGTTTCTTTTTT